GTAAGAAGTATCAGTAAAAACATCTTGATTTATAGCTGAATTTGCTGACAGTAAAAACTTACGCGTGCGCAATATGATTTTATTTGAACCAATAGAAAAGGATAATGCTGGATAATATCTATTAATAGGCTTTCAATTTCACTCATTTTTAACCCAAAACTAATTATTGAGCTCAATCACCAATGCCCAAAACAATTCCAGAACCTCACTTTTTAAAACCAAAACAAAAACAACGCCAGCGGCCATTGCCCTCTGCGTTACTTTTTAACACGAGAACCGACGATTGCGTCCGAATCCGTATCAGTAACCGTAAGAAATAAAAATGAACCATTTCATACTGCTTACGGCTTACTGCATGCTTGTTACTGAAAGACTATAACCAGGAGCATGTATTTGTTATAAATTCATTTTTCTTACGTCTTACGGATACTGCTTACTGCTTACGTTACGGAAGTTATAAATCCAGCTTAATTCTATCCGGTTCGAGGGACCATGTTGCTGGGTTCCTTCGACAGGTAATATTTTGCAGAAATAAGAACCCACTTGTTCAATTTTACGTTTTTAATTACCAGAAAATAAAATGCTTGCAGAACAGTACACTTTTTTTACGAGGCAGAAATGCTGACTGTTTACTAGTAACGGCCCTCGGCAACGGCTCCAAGCTCCGCCCATCAGCTCCAATATTTCTACGCCGAGTGACATATGACAAGCGCGGTCGCGCCAAGTTTTCAGGGGTTCAGCCGTGTTGCCATATCTATTAATATGATACTAATACATTGAATAAATGAAATAAATCCTTAACTCTAACAGCCTCTATTCTTGCCGTTGCTCTGAGCAGGTGTGACTGTGGCCTAGGGGGGCCAGTCATCTTCCTACTGAGTGAATTATCGATTACCGTTCTCGTGGAAAAAGTAGGTCATCGGCCTACAGGCATTAGAGAGTTATTGGAACTATTAAATACTGCCTTGCAGTATTAAGGATCTACGTTATTTTATTAGTGCATCAGCACTATTTTTCCAAGAAAAAAACAGTTATTGGAAGACTGTAGTAGGTGCTAGAGTATTACCTTATTTTGTATTCATAATTTTGACAGATGATAGCTATGTTCATAAATTTTAGCCTCAAAAAGTGTTTATTTTTGTTTGTGATTTTCTGCTGATACTCATTTTTTGATGTTACCCACAGTAAAATGGAAAAATATTATAAAATATAAATTTTCTAAATAAAATTACGTTATCGTCGGAAAACAAAACGTCAAAGTCGTCCAAAATGTCAGAAATTTGAAATAAGGGAAGTTTACTGCCTTGCACTAACCATACACAAATAAAGACAAGCAGTAACCTTATTAAGGGAATCCTTAATTTCGGACCCAAATGCGCATGCGTAGATGTCAAAATAAGGATAATTTAAATAGTGCTTGTCCTTATTGCACGTCCAATAACTCTCTAATATCTTATCTCAACGAAATAAAGTCGTGCAAGGCGATAATCCATTGATTACCGAAAAAGTTTAAATAGAAAGTCTCGTGTCTCGTGATTACCGTTTTATTTGAGTTTGAATTTCGAAACCCTAGTGGTGAGTTTCTTTAATTTTTTTTAATTGATAGTTGTTCATGGAATGCCTCTATTGTCTGTTATTGGCCCCTGGCTGTTGATATCTGAATGATAAATAAATAAATAAACTATTATCTAGGTTGTTTCCGAGGGGCTATTTCTACCGTAAGCCTATTTTTACCAGGGACCCGTATTTTCTCAAGGGATCCATTTTCAACAAGCCCCATCTCTGGGCATGGAGCTCTTGAGTCCTTCACGTGTCGATTCCTGTACCTCTACTTTTGACGAAGAAAACTGAACTTCTAGCCTCTATCTTCCAGGCTAGAATCAACGACTTCCTGTTCAACTTTCCTCATCCAGTGACCAAAGACTGGATGGCTACCGACTACCGTAATCTACCTTCCTGTTGGAATTGAGGCTTGTATAGAGTTTCGTTAATAACTTTTATATTTTTTTCTAAATTCTGTTCTATAGTCAATTCACATAATTAATTGATTAAATTTTCACCAATATTACCTTTAAATTTTTAAAGTTTCAATTATGTTATTCTTGACATAATTCTTGACACTTTAGTGAACTTTAAATATTTTGTGTCGATTTTTGATTGGCCGTATTTACTATAGATTACTTTTTACCTAACTTTTAGTACCGTTATATTCAAATATTGCCTTACATTTCATCTTTTCCATAGACCTATCTTTTCTTATTAATCCTAATCGTTAATCTGAACTGAGGTCAAGGTTGGACAACGTGCCCTAAATTTAAACTATTAAACTTATTGAATAAGTACCTATAACGTCAAATATTGATCAATTTTTAACCCTGGGTACTACGACTTATATATTTGAGGATTTCCATTATATCTCCAGGGACACTTAAATCTTTATATTTTCCGTACGAATGGCTAGCTACTGTTAACGAACTTGTAAGGCAAGTATATTGAGGTGCAATTTGTTATTATACTATTATTTCTTTTTTGAGCTTGACTAATCTGATTAAAAGTTAACCTCTATTATTTTAATTTGGTCTAAGGTGTCTTACCAACAATAATTGCTTTTATATTTTGGAATAATTCAATACTGAATTGTTTACTGACTGGCAAATATACACTATATTACTTTGAAATTTTACTTATTTGTTTTATTGGTTTATCCATATGTCGAGAGTTGAGTTGTGTGCATTATTTATTTCTTTTTCAGAATTACCTATTACCGTTTACCATAGCTGGGCAGAAAACCGAATCCGTTATCCGTTAATTAACGAAGTTAAAAAAATTGCTTAATTGTAACTTCTAAGTTAACCTGAAAAAATATTAACGGTTTTCTTAACTTCCGTTACTTTGGACTTCCGTTAACTTTAGTCCGTTAGGTACGTAAATGACGTCATTTTGTGTGCCTGAATTGCGCGTCAAGGTTAATCGGGACACTTCGCACAGGCGTAGAAAGATTTAAGTTTGCTACACTACGCAGTTTGGAACTGTTCGGGAATGACTCCAAACCCGATTCCGTATAGTGAAATCGATGCGCAAGCTCTTAAGTTCTGTTGTTGAGTAGGCTGTGAGCTGAAACGTATCGTTGAGCTGTGGTGTTGTCTGCATTGTTCTATAAGCTCCTTTTTCTTGCAGAGGTAAATGGTAAATAAATCAGCTACCTAAATTGGAAATAGTGCCGCTTTTTAGATCTAGATTTATTGTTTTATTCACATTCACCTGTGCAGGAATGTAGGTATAGTATTTTTAATACCCATTTGGAATAACACCATCCTTGTTCATCAATCATGAATCAGATGAAACAAAAAATTACCAACCAATCACAAATCACTAAAACTACTGGTACTCCCAAATAGGTATTAAAAATACTATACCCTAGCCCAGCCTATTCTATTTCAATTATCTATTACCTATAATTAGCTTCAAACATCACTATAACTTTTCGATGATTAACTCTTAACGGATAACTTTAACTTGCGTTATATTCTCAAAAATTTAACGATTAACGATTATCGAAGTTAACTTTTCAAGTAGCGAATTAACGATTAACGAAGTTAACTTTTCGATTAACTGTGCCCACCATTGCCGTTTTCTAATTATTTTCTAGGTGTGTTTCTGAATTTTCACACCATGTTTTATGCAATTATATATATTTTTTTTTTATATTCTGGCGTGTCAAAATGACATTATTATAGACTTCATTTGTAGTGTCATAATGACATACTTTATTGGACTGAGTACTATAATGATTTCATTATAGTACTGAGTACAATATTAAAAAAAATATAGTTACAGCATTCATAGGTTTTTTCATATACGCTTCTAGACTTTTCAGGCATTAGGCCAGCAACTACATTATCAGCCAACTTTTCCATTTTTGAGGGTGTCAAGCACATTACTGAAATTAGCCTTCTTCAATTATTTCCGATAAACTCAAATGCGACAGAAGAATGTGTTGACTATAATCGCCGGAATATAAAATATTGTATGAAATTCGGATCATAAACAATCATCATGATCCTTATAACATAAATATCTATTAAAAAATTCAGTGGCGCCCTTGCCATTCTGTACTTATCAAAAACTATCAACCCTCACCTAATATTTTTTCGCTGAGCAAACCTAGCATATTATGGGCCTCTGGTTAATTCAATAACAAAAGGGGTTACAAAGGTTGAAACTCAACCATCGGTTCAGTGTTTTATAATACCGGCCCTAAGAATGCTATATGCTATATATGCTATATTTTAATGTTTCTTCTCTCTCTCAGTACAACAACCCCATCACATTTGTTGTAAGTTCCCTCATTGTAAATTATTTTTCCTACAGCTGTGCGGAAAAATCGATTTTCCGCACTGATATGCGTGCGTGAAATGAGTTTTCCCGCACGGTGCGGTAAAACTTTTTTTTTTGACATATCAGTGCGGAAAAAGTTTTTCCGCACGGCTGTCAGTGCGGAAAAAATTTTACCGCACTGATATGTCAAAAAAAAAAGAAAAATTTTACATTTTTACGCCTGTAGGAAAAATATTGTACCTAACACTTGCGGAAAATATTTTTCCGCACTCGGCTGCATCACCGAACTCCGCTACGCGTCGTTCGGTGAAAGGCAGCCGCGTGCGGAAAAATTCATTTTCCGCACTTGTTAGGTAAATAGCTATTGTATCCAAACATATTGAACATCTGTAGTCTGTAGGTTGTAAATTTTGTGCGTTCCGGTTAAAACAATTACATTAATGCTAGTGCTAATTTGTTGCAAAAAACATCATAATCCATCGAAATTTGTATTAATGCTACACATATTTAAATGAAGGATTTTGAAGCTAGACGTAAACAACTGGATTCTTAGAATTGCATCGAGAGCCCCGATGCAATTCCGTAGCAATATGTTAGAATGATAAATTCACAAGATTAGTTATTTGATATCAAAATAAGTTAGGTAATTGAAATATTTTCAGACTCTTGACCCGAAACAGCAAGCTACTTATGTATCAGACTTACGACAAGCAGTAAGGTACGCACTTTCAGATATGAAACCTGGCATTGACCTACCAGGTTTTTGTTTGTCAAAAGGGATTGTTCCGATATTGCCTATATTTAGAGAGGCTATTCTCAATGGAGATGGCGACGAAAAAGAAGCGGCTGCACTAGGTAATAATTTGCTAGATTACTACCTGGTGTAATAAAATTCCATGGGCTACCATTGGTAGCTATATCGGCAAAGATGAGAGATACGAGGGCGGTTAAATTAGAAAACAGTTGCCATTTTCAAAGGTTAATAAAAATATGTGCTGTAGGTTTTTTTTCAAATCACCCTGTATCTCGGAAACTAATAGAAATTTGACAACAACGAAAATATATTTTTAATAACCTTCGAATATGGCAACTTTTTTTCTAGTTTAACCGCTCTCGCATCTCTTACCGTTTCCGATATAAAAATGGTTGTTCTTGGTATTATGTAATAACAACTTATTCGTTTTTTCAAAGGCTTAGGTGAAGTTATCAGAGTCACAAGTGCACAATCGCTCCAACCAAGCGTTGTTGCCATCACTGGACCGCTGATTAGGATCTTGGGAGACCGATTCAGTTCCAATGTCAAAACGGCCGTGTTGGATACATTGGCTTCTTTGCTATCTAAAGTTGGCGTCTTGCTTAGACAATTCTTACCACAGCTACAAACAACGTTTGTGAAAGCGCTTAACGATCCCAATCGTACCGTTAGATTGAAATCTGCAACTGCTTTGGGACAACTTGTAGTTATCCATCTAAGAGCAGATCCACTGTTTACGGAAGTACACAATATGGTTAAAAATAATGAAGATGTGGCGCTCAAGTAAGAATTTTAAAGTTCTTAAGGTATCAAGGGTATTATAAGGATAATAACGCTTGAAGTCAATGGTGTATTTATCCGTTGACCGACAGCGTTAGTATCTTTAATACCCGTGGTGCCTCTCTTAATGTCCGACTAATTATTTTTTATATGAGGAAATTTTGAATAAATTAATCTAAAACAAAGCATTTACCTGGAAAAAGGCCATAACGTAGGTTATTAAAATAGTCATAACGCCTTAGGGCGATATTTTTTAGTATAACGCCGCAACTACGCAACCTCAAAAAAAATGATTTAATTTCTGCCTTTTGAACTGAGAATATATCGTGATCACTTTCCATTTTCAGCTGAAACATCTTTGTTTTCATAGCAAACAAGATTGTCAGTGAAAATTTCAGGTTCAGGATGTCTTTCATCCTGCCTCTTTCCTCTTTCCTGCCCCAGCTTTCCTCAAAATCCATATTTTCTGTTAGTAATTAAAATTTTTAAATTATACAACGAAATATTTTTTTTTTTTCAATAGAGAATCAACCTTACAGGCTCTAAGGAGCATAATTACTGCTGGTGGAGACAAGATGTCGGAAACGGTCATGAAACAAATTCATGCGACGTTGACAACCTATTTAGGACAGACTGATGATACAATTAGAAAATGTGCTGCCGGTTGTTTGGGAGCTATTTGCACTCATTTACCTACTGGATTATTGGATCAGACGCTTTCAGACCATATATTGAGTAAGTATAGGATTTTTCAAGACAACAAAGATTGTGTGGAATCTCTGATAGCAGATAGAGGTTGCTACTTACCAAACGTAATAACAAAATACAATACAATAACCCTTTTTGATCATTAATATCTTAGATTTATATCATCAAACTACATATTGTGGCACTTTCGCTAGCATACACGGGATCAAATCTGAAATCTAGAATTTACTGCCTTTTTCAGGAAAAGAGACTATCGCGTTTATTCGGGATTTAAAAATAATGGAATAGGTATATGTACTATATAAAGGCCGGTATTAGTTAGTGGTTAATTAAGTTTTAAGAATGGCTGTGATATGATTTAAATAGTGAATATTCGTAAGAGTTGTAGAGAGTTAAATTTGAGTGAATCAGCGAAGTGATTAGTGTCAGAGTGTTTAGTAACGTGGAATAAATTATTGTTGTGTTTATTGGACTTTTATTTTGAATAAACGAAAAACGAACCCAAGATTTATTGTCACGCTACCCCGAGCCGTGACATTGGTGTCAGAAGTGAGATATAATTTGAACACTCCTAAGTGAAATCCGATTGCAGAATAGTGCGGACACTAGTGAGTAGTCTGGACACTAAGTGAACAGTAGGACAGTTAGTCAGTGTAAGCAGTGGCATTAGTGACAATCACCAAAAGAGACTTAACCGATTGTGTAAATTACCCCGGAAGTGACTGTATACCCGACATTGACTGTGATAGTGACATGTCAAGTAATATAAGTACATATAGTGAAATTATTAAAATAATGGTTGCAGGTCATCAATGACATCGAAATTATTGCCAATTGCAGTTTGTAAGAAATAAAAATTCGTTTTAAACTCAGAGCGCATTTTCTCTTTTTTTTAACCCTAGTTAAAAAGAAATAAAATGGTGTCGGATCATAACCAAATCTGCCGATAAAATGGGATTTAGGTTGGCAATCGTGGGTAATGTTGCCAATAGTTGCCTTCTGCAAATCTATGGTTATTGATTTTAATAATGTGAGGTTTGTTGTCAGTTTTTAACGAGTCTGGGATTGATAGTTGGGATATAATTCAATTTGCTATGAAATTGTATCAATGGAATTTCCTTTTTTGGTATTATAATTATTCTTATCAATTTATTAATAAAAATGTAACCTGGGAAAATGACTAACTTTATGGTATGTCAAAGTAAAACGAAGTTGATGCGGCAACATTACGACATGCTAACGTCATAAATTTTGATCCCCCACATACATTGATTTATTAATTTCCCTATATGTATTTTCTAGAAAATTCTATTCGGAAACCAAGGAATCGAGATATCGAATTTTTGAATTCACCGACGTGTTTGCTATATCAGTCGACATTTAGAAAGGACATTTCAAGAAAATTCTAGAACATTCTATTCAAGAATAAAGCAAGTTATCTAATTTGTGACTTTACCGACGTGTTTGGAACTTCAATCAAAGACCCGGAAAGATAGTTGAAGAGAGTTAGAGGGCAATTCCATTCTGTATATGCCTATTACCAAACAAGCAAAAATGGAAGACCTTAAAATTGAAGAACTTCTGCACAAACTGTTGGAACTTCAAGAGACCAAACGACAACAAGAAAAACAAGAAGAAGAAGCTAGACGACAACAAGAAGAGGCTAAACGACAAAAAGAAAAACAAGAAAAAGCTAAACGACGAAAAGAAAAACAAGAAGAAGAGGTCAAACGAAAACATGAAAGGCACGCAGACATTGAACAAATGCGGAAAATATTTCAAAATAACAAGGATCTGTCGCGAAGTTCAGAAAAATTAGCGAAGCCCTTGTCCTAGCATTAGAACTGGAAGCAATTTTTGGACCCAAAATACGAACAGTGACCACTGAAGAATAGGATAAGCAATCGTCAGAAGAGGATGGTAGTTTGAGTGATTTCATGGAGAAAATGGAGGAACTAATACTAGAAGGTAGAAAAACGGGAAACGACTCCAGACAAACACAAATACCGAGAAACCGAGTATAATGTTATTGGTTACATAAACTTGGACATATTCAACGAGATTGTAGAGTAAGGATGTCCTCTCCATCATGGGTTCGTTTTCGACGCTTTTCGAGATCGAGAGACGTCAGCCCTAATAGCAGATAGGGAACAGGAACTAACCAGTATGGAGGGGTGAATGCTGGTTAGTAATGACGAAGCCCCCAGGGTTGTTTACATAAAATCCTTGGCAGTCATTATAGAGGATTAAAATTCGAAGGACAAATAAATGGAGAATTTTAAACCATCACTTCGGATACCAATTAGAAAAACATTAGTCAAGGCTCGGGCTTGATCGGGTTGGTAATGAAGAATTTGTCCTAATTACATAAGAAGAATCTCAAGCTGTTAGCATCCTGGCAAAAAATCCGGTGAGGATTTCTGATGGAAGTACTGAGAAGATCATTTGCGGAAAATTGGAAATAAACCCTGGGTGCTGCGTTGGAATAACACATAATTTTATCGGAGAACCTTATCAAAGCCAGAACCAGAACGAAATTATTGTCACCAGAAGAGAGTTAGTTGCTTGCCATAGTAAAAGCAGTCGACCATTTCCATAAGTATCTCTACGGACGTAAGTTTCCAATTCGAACGGATCATGCAGCTCTAAAATAGCTTTTAGAAATGAAGACTCCCGAAGGACAGATTGCTAGATGGATTGAGAAAATGCAGCAATACGATTTCCAAATCAAATATCGACCTGGAACCAGTGTCGTAGCAAGACACTCTCGGGCCCGTAAGCAAAAAAATCTCACGGGGCCCCTTACGAAAGGAGAACCCTTATCAAAATTATGGAGAGAATCTCATATCATTTATCATATTTTTCATCAGTATAAGCTAAATCAGCGGAATTTGAAGGACTTTACCGAATCTATTTCATCAGATGATTTTTCCATATCCAGATTATCAGTATTGGTAACAGCAAATAATTCTTGAATAGGCAACTTGCACATTAAATTAAATATGGAACAAATAATAAAACATAATAACAAACATCCTAATAAATGACGCAATAGGGAGCACATTTTTTTTTTATTTCAAAAATGTGTTGTACTACACTAAAGACATAGTCATGCCAAATATCAAGCAATAAAAATCAGCCGTTAATTTTTTATAAATATTTGAAGTTACGCTCAAAACATCGCCATTTGAAACGACCGATTAGTGTGACGTCACTCGGCAACAAAATTCCGATCACAGTGACGAGCCCTCCTAGTCCAGGAGGTGGCGCCAAAAACATGCAAGAGTTTTCGCAAGGCGGATATTTTCAAAATAGGTCCTACTTTAGTGCTAGAATGCTAGTGTACAGTCAGCACTCACAGTTCCGGGACAGCTGGCTCTGGGACGCGGGCAAAGTTGTAATTTTAAGAAGCATCTAAACTGTTTTCTCAAAGCTCAAAATTTATAGAAATTTTGTACATTATCTGTTTGAAGGTCACAGATAACGTATGTAAACCGTCAGACGTCTAGTTCGTTGCAAAAAGGGGGTCAGACGTCCTCAAAGTTTTTATTTTATGGCATTTTCTTCAAATATATTTGTCAAATACCTGCAAAAATATATTTTGACAGGACACCGAAGAAAATGCCATAAAATAAAAACTTTGAGGACGTCTGACCCCCTTTTTGCAACGAACTAGACGTCTGACGATTTACATACGTTATCTGTGACCTTCAAACAGATAATGTGCAAAATTTCTATAAATTATGAGCTTTGAGAAAACAGTTTAGATGCTTCTTAAAATTACAACTTTGCCCGCGTCCCAGTGCCAGCTGTCCCGGAACTGTGAGTGCTGACTGTACACTAGCATTCTAACACTAAAGTACGACCTATTTTGAAAATATCCGCCTTGCGAAAACTCTTGCATGTTTTTGACGCCAGCTCCCCAACTATCCGTACTTCGGGCAGGTAGATTAAGATTATGGTTATGTTGTTATGTATGCAGTTTCTGATAGATTTGACATTGGCGACACCAGCAGCACATGATGTGGCAGCGACGCGACCTGATTATTACTGCCTTGTGACATCACGATTCATAGAAATACGTTTTTGATCGCGTCATGAATTTCGAATTATTTGGTATTTTCAATTAAAGATTTTGGAGACCAGAGATAAGATATTAGGGACATAAAGCTTCCGTATTTTTTGCTCGGTATCCGTATCGGTATCGTACTGCGCATGTGCAGAAGCGATACGGAGGCCGAGATACCGTACGTACAACGTAACGTTACGGCCCTCTCGCGGTATCCGTATCGGTAACGTATCTTGACATTCCTGACGCATGTGTCAAATTTTAAATGAATATAACCACTTTTCTTTCGGGTTGATTTAATTTGTTTAGTTTATACTTTCTTGAGTTTCTTGTGTGTTTAGTGCTTCTCTATCGCAAAAAAAAATAACAATTTTAAGGTTAGATATAAAAACGCCGGAGTTTTGAGACAAAAATTTCCAGGTTATGAGATGCGTTTAAGTTTACCGGAACAGGGAGCGCTTTAACAGCCTTTTCGCTTGTCAACGTATCTAGTTGCGTTACGGATACCGATACCGATACCGGCGAATTATTTCAAGTAGCTTTATGGCCCTATTAATTTTTTTTCTCATTTGCATCATTTTTTAGGATGATTGTTATTGTGTTTTGTTATTTATTCCATATTTAATTTAATGTGCAAGTTCCCTATTAGAGCAATCCGAATTAATGAAACATCCGGATTATTGGAATCTTTTGAAAAGTCACAGAAATACATCAAAAACTGTAGTTTATTAACTCAAAATAGGTGCTTATTACATAGTACAGTTAATTTTTGCAAAATATCGTGTTTTTCCGCCAGAGTTAACGTTTTGCGTGCTCTATTTGGAGCCATGATGCTTAGGTACTACCGAGCTTTCCACCATTGTCACAGAAACAAACGCATCGTTTTCGGTGAAATAAGGGAATTCACTAGTGATGAGCGATATAAAACGAACTGTGATTTCATCACTGATATCTTAAA